CTCCCATCTCCTAGCAAGCCACCTTCTTGCCCTAGAGAGCCACAACAGTGAGAAGCAAGAAATAGTCATGCCATCTCCAAGGTGGGGGCTGCATGTGCGTGTGGGGTACAAGGAGGGCACCTTGAGTGCTGGCATTTCTGGACACATCTGAGCAGCTGGGCATGGCAGGGGAAGAAATTGACAGAGGGAGAGGGAGGGCAGGGATGTCTTTCCCAGGGGAAAACACCAGGTACAGCTTATCATTTACCTGTATTCCAGAGATGGCAGGTTTCCTAATGATATACACCCTTCTTTTTAATTCTATATATTTATTTATTTATCTATACCTTTTTTTTGCAAAACAAAACAAAGCAAGAATTTATTTAAAAATCTGCCTTCCTGCTCATTGAACTGGGTGGCGTAACTCAATCTGACAAGCTAAAGCTAAAGTATGTTTTGTTATCTGACTTGGGTTCTCTTAGTAGGTCACAGGAGAGTAGTGTCTAAGTTTATTACAGAACTGATAGATACTTGGACTTTTGTAAGCTGAAAAATATTTAACAATCTACTGGGCTTTATCAGGGCTGACACTAGAGAATTTTTTCTTCTTAGGCAAAGTCCAATCCTACAGTAGAGAAGACAAATAAAAGATTTTAAAACTAAAATAATAAAGTATAATGAAAACAGGTGCAAAACCATTAAACTGAAAGCAGAACTTCAGCTGCTGCCCTCCCCCACACCCTGGCAGCCCCTGTGCCAGCTGCCTGCATGCTGTGAGCCGCATACTCTGCTGCAAGCGGGTGGGCAGACATGGGGCTTCTGAGCTGTGCTTTTCAGCCCAGCTTGTCCTCACAGGGCCAGAAGGCACAGGGGCAGACATATTGAAAGGTTTACAACCTTTATAGGCCTCAGTCTTACACCTCTTGTGAAGAGGCCTAGCCTTTTCAGTCTCTCCATGTCCTTCTTATTGCATGAACCACATCTGCATGATGCTTTTTAGTACTAAATGAAGTTTTAACTTCATATTTCGTACTTCAGTGTACAACTTCTGACCACAGTAGTCAAAAGCACTTGTTTAGTAGTTGAAAATCTGGGCCTAAGCATTTTGTACTCATGTTGTATCCCTGCCTAATGTTTTACCAGCAAATAAAGTGGCTTGGGGCATGCGAAGTGGGCCATATTCTATTCGGATTCAGATTCGGCCTGATTCAGGGGACACTGATTTGATTCATTAATTCGTATCGCTGTCCTGATTCGATTCAACCAAACCCAAATCTGATGATTCAATGCTGATTCAGAGAATGTCATTTGGCCATAGACACAGTTTTAAATGTTTTTTCTACATACCTCGAGGTACCAAACACAGCTTGTGAAAGCTGAGATGGTGGGGTGGATGGAGCATGGCGGGGGGGCCCTCTGTGTGCTTGGTGGCGGACCTGGAAATGGACCGGAAGTACTTCTGGTCCTCTTCCGGGTCTGCTGCCAAGCATGCAGCCCCCCTCCCCCGCCCCCTGCACTCCCCTGAATTGGCGATCAGCCATGGGGGGGACCCTAGGTGCCCCCCCAGACCCAGGAGGCACCAGTTGCTGAAGCGGGGGCTGGGGAGTCCCCCAGACTCTCCACAATGAACCTGGAAGCAGACTAGAAGTGCTTCTGGTTCACTTCTGGGTCTGCCGCCAAGTACGCTGGGGACCCCCCCCCATGCTCCCATGGGACACTCCATCTGCCCCGTCTCAGCATTCATGAGCCACCTGGTACCTTGAGGTATGTAGAAAAAACATTTAAAGCTGTGTCTATGTCCAAATCATCAAATCTCTCCAAATCTATTTGGAGGGTTCTGATTTGATTTGGAGAGATTAAAGGGTCTCCTGATTCAATTCAGATTTGGAGATTCAGCCACCAAATAGGCTGAATCAATTCTGCAACGAAAGCTTCATGCAGCCGTAGTAACAGCCCTGCGGAGCTTGTATCTCAATCATTGAAAATGAAGGCAATGAAAATGAAGGAAAGCCATTATGACAAAGGAGCCAGAGATGGAGAAAGACCATAGTGAAATACATAGGTGACGCTTAGGAGAGGCACATGGAGGGCATGTGCCCCCCCTCCCCCCTGAGATTGGCTGCTGCTACCACCACTGGCTTCTGAGAGTGGTTGCTGCTCGCTACCCCCCCTCCGCTCTGCTGCTGACATCACCAAC